CCCCACCGCCCCTTCAAGACACCCCCCCCCAGGATGGATTCACTTTCTGCTTGGGGAAATGAAGTGGCATTCACATGGGGGGAGGGGGGAACTCACTGCTTTTATTAGCTCCAGAAAATGGTCAGTGTTCGGTCTATAACTAGGAATTAATTATATAGAATCACTCAGTAAACTTTCCACAGAGTTTTTCTAATTGCTGTGCATGGACATGGTTAGCCTGGTGGAGCCCTTTCCAGTTACTTTTATAATTACCAGCTGAAAGATTGGAGTCAGAAATAAAGAAACAATGAGGCATCTTGGACTATAAATTAGGGATGAAAACAATAGCTTCTCTTTTCTTTCTTTCTCGTAACCCCTTTTCTTTTAAACAAAACATTTCCCCTTTTCTCTCCTGGGGAGAACAGTGGGGAAAACTGCTTCTTACATGGGAGAAGGGGGAAGAGGAGTCACTCTTTAAAAACCCAGGGTGACAGTAACCCAGAAAAACCCTGAAGGCAGAGGTAGGGTTTTTGAGTCCAAACACTTCAAATGTGTGATCTCTTTGTTTCTTTTCCCTTCTTTCTTCTGTGGCAGAGGCAACAGACATTTGTCAGCTGAGAAGCCCCAGATCTGGCTTTGCCTCTGGTTGACCCTGAAAAGAAAGGCACACGGAAAAGTGCCTTGGCTCTCCCCACAGCAGAGATTTAGCAAGGGAATGTGTTTAGAAGCCCTTGTGTTGCTCTTAAATGTAAAAACGAGGATTCACCCATGGCTGCAGGTTGCCTAGGCTATGGCTGCCCTTCCCCCTCCCTACTCTCCTTCCAGATAAACAAGCTGGCTGCAGCCATTTCAGCCCTGCAGCTAGCTATGCTGCCAGGCTGTCCCTCCTATCAAGATTACCTGCCTATCAGCCGGCGAGGAGCCAGCTGCCCGTCCTCACCCTGGCATGGCCTTGGGCACCATGCCCTCCTGTCTCCCCTGGAGCTAAAAAGCAGTCACCTTGAAACTCTCAGCACCACAGAGTTCTGAGGCCAGTGCTCAGACCTGTAACAGTAAATTACATTATCCACTACGAGGCTCTTAGTTCGGCCTTTGAAAGTGGGTTTTGCAAAACCCATTGTTAGTTTTCAGGGCTCTGTTGGGGGTGGACAAAAATCTAATTTGGGAGCATCCCGTGCATTGGCTGAAGGAATGTTTTACTATTGTCTTTTCTGCAGATTTGGATTGTCTTTCCTTGATGCTGTCTTAGGACTGGCTGAGTATTTGGTGGCTGTTTTCAGGATTAGAAACAGCCTTTTGATTTTACCTTGGCCTCAGACTGGGGTGCAGCCCTTTAGCTTGGCTTTTCAGATGCTGCTGCCCTTGAAGCACTTTCATTTCACCTAGCTCCTTTGGTATGGATGCTAAACTGGTTTCTAATATACCAAGAAGGGGAAATGGGCTTCCTTCCCCTCCCCAGCCTGCTCCCTTTTAACATTTTTGTGTTTGCACAGACACCTGTCTGTCTGCAGTTTATGCCACCGGGCTGCATATTTCCTAACCTTGCACCCAGCTCATTCGAGGGCAAGGGGGGCCTCATCTCACAGCCTCATGTTGAAGGTTCAGGATCTAAAAGGGAAGGGTTTTCCTTAGGAACCTGTGACTTCACAAACTCCCCCTGTCATTGCAGATTTTTTTTTTAAGCCTCTAAACGTTGGGTTGTTGGTGTCCTCTGGTTGAGCTTTTCCTGGTTCTGATATTTAGGAAGGTGGCTTTGAAACTAGCAGGGCTGCTTAAACAAGAGCTACAGCTATTGAACAAACTGCTACCATTTTAGCTTCAATACAGGAATGAGGCAGTATTGCCAGACGCCATTTTAAGAATCCTGCATAAATAGCTTAGCTACCGATGACTCTGCCTGTTTTAGGTGAGTGCTTATATAAAGCTGCTCTGCTAACCATTCCCTTCCCTCCCATTTTTTTTTTTTTTAATTAATTGCAGATTTAGGGGAGCATGGTTTTTAAAATTTTGATGTTCACTATTTTGTGCTCTAGAAGAGGAAGATGTTGTGTCTTGGGGATTAACTATTTTTTACAGCCTGGACCAGTTTGATATTTTGAATGAAAGTAAAAAGCTGAAGGAAAAGTCCTTTCGAATGATGCATGATTCTTGAATTGCTGTGTGATGATCCTCAGCTGTAGAACCAGAGTCTTGTGCATGCTGGTTATATATTCTAGATGGGTTTAGATAGTTCTGGTTAAAAGTCAAATAGTAGGGGCACTTGGGGAGAAGAAATATCTGGGTATTGTGTATCCAGGCATTTTTCTGTCAAAACTAGATTTTTCTTTTTTTTCCTCTCTCTTGGAAGTGTTCAGGGAATAGGATTCCTGGGAATTACGGACCAGGCTTGAGTCCTCAGAATTAATAATCAGAAGGCTTAAAACATCCTGGAGGTTCAGCA